TACTTAAAGCTAAACTTTAAATTCCTTTATTTTATATCTTTTCTTTTAGGTAATTATAAAAAGGTAATTAAATATAATATTAAGTAAAGATTTAATAGCTTTTAAAGGTAATAAAAAACTTATTATAAATAAAGATTTTATATAAGCTTTATTTTTTATATATATAATAAATATTTTATATTATTTATTTAAGATTAATAAGAAAATAACCTTTATTACTTTAATTCCCTTATAATTAATTAAATAATTAAAGTAAAAAATATAAGCCTTACTTAATAAAAATATCTTACTAAGGTAAGATAACCCTATAAATTTAACCTCTATATAATTCCCTTAATATTATAATAAGGAGGTTAAAAGTATAGCCTTATTAATATATTTACCCTTTTTTAAACCCTTTAAGGTTTAATAAGACTAATATATATTAAGCTTAAAATAATTTATTCCCCTAGGACCTTAAAAATTAATAAAAAAAAAATATACCCTTAGTTATATTTAATTTATTAATATAAGACTAAATACTTAATAATTAGATTATAGATATAAAGTTTAAAAATACCTCTTATAATAATAATCTAAATAGCCTTAAGGGGATTTATTAAATTATTAATATAAATAAATTTAAAATTAAAAATAAGTATTTTAAGAAATAAGTCTCTTATACCTAGGTTAAGCTATAAGAATCTTTTTATACGGATTTAATTAATTATATCTCTTTTAATCTTATTAATTAAGTCCTAAAGTATTAGCTTTATATTAACTTAAGAGGATATATAATTATAAATATTAAGAATATTAATTATATTAATAATTAATAGATTTATTATTTAATTATACCCCTTATAATTAAAGATAATAAAAAGGCTAAGATCCCTTTAAGAGCTAGGCCTTTTATATCTCTATAAATAAAAATTACTTTCTTAACCCTTTCTTAAGATATAATTAAATAATATATTAATAATAAGATTAAGGTTAAGAATAATATATTAATTTATATAAATAAATAAAAAATATTAAATTTTAATAATTCTAAGAAAAAGAAAAAATTAATTATAAAGCTAATTAGTCTTATTTTAAAAAATAATAAAGATAAGTTTATAATTTTTATGCCTCCTTAAGAGAAAAATTAGCCTAAGACCTTATTAAAGCCTTTAGCTAATTTATTATTAAATACTTTAAAGTATAATTAGCTCCTATCCCTTAATAAATTAAAGTTTTAATTATTTAAGCCTTTAGCCTCTTTTAAAAATAATATAAATAAAAATAAAAAAAAAGCTCTAATTAAATTATCTAATTAAATAATAAATATAAGTTATTAAGGTAAGACCTAAGATAAGTGCCTATATATTATAAAAGAGGGTCTATAGATTTAAGGTATTAAAGACTTTAATTATTTAAACTATAAGAATAATAAGGTCTTAGTATTAAAGAGAAAGCTTATTAGACCCGGCATATAAGCTATATTATATAACCCTAGAGAGAAAGGCTAGCTTAAGGAGGTAAGGAATTAACCTATATACTAATTATTAATTAGAAACTATATAATATACCTTCCTATTAGAATAATAAGATTATTTTAATAAGATAAGATTTTAGCTATAATAATATAGCTATAAATATATATAATAATATTAAGAGAAAATAAGGATAAAAAAATAAAAAAGCGCTAAAAAAGCTAAGATAATTAATTAAATAATTAGTCCTATTTAGGAAATAATCTAATATATTAAAGGGAATTAATAGCCTTTAAGGAAAGAATTAATAAGGTTTTAATAAGGCTTCTTAAGAGCTATAAAAATAAGTATTAAAGCCTTATAAAAAGCTATAAATTAAGGGAAAAATATATTAAGCTAATTTAGGCTACTAAGTAATTTCTTATATATAAAAAAGGGAGGTAAAGGCTATAAAGCCTTACCTTTATTATTATTTTTATAGGCCTTAAGTAAAAGACTTTTAGGCTTCTTTATAAGTTATATCTTTATTATTATAAATTAATTAATTACTTTTATTATTTTATATTAAATTTACTTCATAAGAAAGTATATAAGATCTCTTTTTTTAAAAAGACCTTAAAAAGAATATATAGATATTTCCTCTCTTAGGCTATGTGGTTTAGTATATTTTATTTCTCTAATAAAGTATAATAAGTAGTTTTAATTAATTAAATAGTTTATAGTATTTTTATTATAATCTTTATAAAAAAGGTTAAGATTTTTAAGATACTTACTTAACTAAGATACTTACTATATATATATGTTAATATTATATTATATTTAAGATTTATTTTTTATTATAATTATAACTTAGCCCTTAATAAGTTAATTAAGCCTAAAGATTATTATATAATAATATTTATAGGGACTTTTATTAAGATTAGCTATAAGAAAGCCTATCTAAATAAGGCTTTCAGGTTATCCAGGTTAGATCCGCAGATAGACATTATTAAAGAGTCTGGTATTCTGCGCTTTCTACTGGCCAGACACTACTAGTGAAGGGTAATAAGTCAGCAACGAGCGGGGGAATAGGAGTGACCCGAGTCTTCCCTAAGCTTAGCATACGAGTTCGGTATTACCTTATGCGCAGGTTAAGGCGAACGGTGGCGTGGCAGAGACTGATAGGTGTATTTGTTGGGTATTGAATGATGAATGAGGTTATGATACGAGAACATGAAGATGACCGAGCCATAGAATTGTAGTAATTGTTACTCTAAGAGCGATCGGCCACCTGTGGTGTTTTCGGACCTTTCCCAACTTCTGACCGTGCACGATGAGCTGGAGAAGCACTAACAGTACCAAATAATGCAAGGGTTCTGCTCAATTCTGGTTAGTGCATAACTAGTTGTGCATGCACTCCTCACGCCAGCGTCATAACAAAGAGACGCGTCTCAACGCGACGCGACGCGCACAGTCTGGGGCCTGTCTCCAGACGCGCCATGACCCCCACGAGTCAATCTAGCCAATCTCACTGCCAAGACACGGCTGGCCAGAAGGAGTTGCCATGGAGCACGAGCTGAATGTCTGGTGAGGCCCAGCAACGGTTCATCTCCCAGCTGCACTGAGTACCTAAGACTCAGGTACCTCGGCTCAAAAATTGGAAGGGCGAGAGTGAGGGGCGTTGGGAGAGACGTCTTGGTTTATCTAAACAGCCTCAGTATGAGTTGTGAGAGAGCTTCATGGGCATGCACTTGCGGTAGCAATTAAATAGGAAAATAGGCAAAATGGTTCTTCCTTCATTCTCACTCATAGCAATGGCCAAATGCTCCCATCGCAGCTACGTCACGGTATTGGCGTGTTTTGGTGGATGTCTCAGTATCATGCTACCCTACAGACTAAATACGTGGAGAGCGAATGACGTATGAAATTCTTACGACCAGATGAACCAAGTACACACTTTACTGAGTATTAGCTCCTGAAGCACAGCTGCATGGTATTGTGGCGCCTGAATGAGGCACAATTCCGAATGGCGTCCCTTGCTCTCAAATAGTAGATCATGTTTGAGTGTTGCCCACCAAGCGAGAACATCCCGCAAAATCTTCCAGCACTTTGATGAAATCGTCTAGCTAAGGAATTATTGAGGGCGCAATGACGCTGACAGCGTTCAAAAGCGACCTTGTCCTATTACTAGGCCCCAGTTTAGAGAGTCGGGTTGCTAACTCTGCGATGTGCCGTATCACTTCCCCCAGTTAGATTCTTAACAGGACATGCAGTATCGCACATGGGACAATGTTAGAGCCTTAGCTCCACTTGACCCACTCGACCTCAACAATGCTTTACAAAGTCTCAATAAAGACACGTCTTGTCATTAGTTTGAGTAACCGCAAGCAGATCAGCCATATCGCACGAGATGTGACCGCTATAGATATAACAATCCTAGCGAGAAGTGATTAGAAGTTGTTATGGCTGGTTATAACTAGTCATGATTGGTGGCCATTTGGACGATCATGTGACTGATCTGGCCAGAGAAGTGGAGGATAACCAGGTCCGACCTGGTTAATTTCCCCACCTCAAGCGTGAGACTGGTCGATTTCAAGTTCATGTTGCTGATTGATAGATGCGATGCTACGTATTGTTCTCTCTGACAAGAAATCTATCCTTGAGAACAGTACATGACATAGCCTCGATCAACCAGATAATAGATCCTCTCTTCCTCCACTGTGAGCCAAAGAGAGACAAACTCAGTGAATTTGAACCCACCAACCAAAACATCATGCCTAACAGCTTCCCTAGTGTATTTTGACTTCATAATTAGCCTCACTTTTCTATTTTAAGCTGTCTCTTTCGCACAATGACATCTCATCATTCAAAATATTGCAACAATTCTCACTGCACAGTGCTTGTGACACACATCATAGTAGACCTATGTTACACGCACAAGTTCTCTTTTTTGCAAAAACCTCACCCCGTTGCGTTTGCACCTTCACACCTAGATTTTTCTCTCTCCCAAGATTCTATTCTCAGAATACAGAGTTTTATTCTCGACTCCGCCACCAGAAAGGCTCTTCTCTTCCCTGGCTGAAGCCTGCTGCTCTGGGGATTATCCAACCATAGCGAGCCAGTAATCGAGTATCTTGCTCACATCGCGCCCCGAACAGTCGAATCTCTTCGACGAAACTCTCATATCCCCTTGGCTCGACAATCTGCAGTCCCAGTTCCCTTCTTCGACCACTACAGAACGCAACATGGATCGCTCGCCTCTCAAGGAGACCGCCTAAATTCCAAAAAACGAAGTTTGGCGTTAGAGAGAAACGACATGACGCTTCCTCCCAGTCCTTCCCACCCTCCGACAGCCTCAGACACCCAAGTTTCGGGCCAACTTACTTCGCCATCCAATGAATCGGGTTTCAACACCCCAAGCGCCGGAGATGCCAACACCAATCCTCTCACCACTCACTTAGACATGTTGGGGGTGGAATTTACCAGGCGCTTGGACGAATTCCAAAAAAACGAAGTAGCAATTAAGCAACAAGTGGAGGGAAGAACTCGGGGTCGCTGAAGACGACGATGATCAGCAACAGTCCCGGATCGCCAGTATCCCCCTCCAGGATCAAGGTCAAGAAGATGATTGCCGAGTTCCAGGGTGGCCAGGATAGCTTTTACTGCTTGACCCGCTCCTTTGTTGAGCAAGTCATCATCAGCCTAAGCAAGGCCTCGACAGTCCCGACGTCTGGATCACACCCATCTTCCGCCGCTGCTGCTACGGGGCGGAAGAACCAGTCCTCATTGAATGACAAGCGTCCTTTGAATAGCCAACTTCCCTCGGGCGGCCAGCTTTCATCCAACGAACAGGCACCTCCTCGGCTACAGGCAGACAAGTGTGATGCTAGAGCCCCACCACCCGACCCATCCCGGCCTCCGACTCCCAGTGAGAGCCAGAGGAGCTTCACTCTGACATTGGATGATATGGGCAAGACCTTGGCCCAGAGCTTGCAGAGATTTATCAAAGACGAGGCCTTCGGCGGCATCATCAATATTAATGATCTCGCCGGCATTCTACAAGTGCCCTGGGAGGAACTCACAGGCAGGCTTCAACTGAACCGAGCCAGAGAGGCCGACACGACGGAAATGCGATACTCTCGCGGAGATGACAAGGCAAGTGGTCTCTCCGCAGACATCGGAAAAGGATGGTGCTACTTATGTATTAGTAAGAAGCCTCCTTTCGATATACCTAAGTACCCCCTGGACGTTTAAGAGCCTACTATTACCCAGGCTACCGAGTTTCTCGATAGTCTCGTGAATAACCCTCCTAAAAAGCCCTGCACCTACTATATCGGAAGTTCTATCGACTTTCAGTAGGATAGCCTAGTTAACTGCGGGAACCAATTAGCGGATCTTAATAAGGCGCTCCCGAATATAGGGTCGGTCTATTGGCATCTCAGTGAGACCTCCTTAGGTACTACACCGCACCACGAGGACGCAGCCTACTAATCGTATAACTTGACGCTCGTTGGATTTAAGGTGTGGATTCTCCTTGACTTACACGACTTCCTGAAGCGACACTGGGTTAAGCCACTAAATGAGTCCACACCGCAAATCTGCGACCAATGGGCTCGCCATCTCTGCCTCGCATTAGGCCCTAAGAGGTTGATAGAGGAGGGCACGGCCATAGTGTTTTCATCATAGATCCCAAGTAGATAGTAGTAACCTAGCGCGGAAATGCCACCTCGTGGTGAATTATTACTTATTATTCTCTATATCGACTAAATTTTTATTTCCTAGCGAGCTATTATTCCCGGAGACTATCTTAACCTGCCGAGACTATGGTCTCTATTATCTAAAAGACCCTGCGAACCATATGGTTAATGCTGAGCGAGACCTAACCAATAAAGCCAATAAAACCCAAACAACTTCCAAGGTAACCCCTAAAACAAAGAAGCGTGCCAAGTAATAGGGGACTAAGTGACAGGAAACCCAGCCACAGGGAATGTCAAGTGCCAATACACGCTCCCAGAAAGCCTCACAAGGAGTCGCGAAATAACTCAAGGAGAATAACCCCAAGGTTCGCATCGCCGCCAAGGACAAAACAGCCGACCTAAATACCTTTCTTCTGGCCAACATCATTCGGACCCGACCAGCAATCAAAGCAGTTTATTTCGCTCTTAGAGCAATGGAGATGCCAGGGGACTCCCCAGTAGAGCATGCCCGAGGGAGAGGAGACAGACAGCATTGGGTTTTGATGCTGCCGTGTGTCTTGAAGTGTGTTTTTTGATGATGTGACAGACACTTATGTCATTGAAAAAAAAAAAAAAATAGAGAGGAGACAGAGTTCCAGATCTTCAACCGCAGGCTCCTAGCCATCGACAAACCGACTCAGGGAGTTCAACTGGGGCAATTGCAGGTCCAGGCGAGCGAATACTACATTGCCTTGGACCTTGCTAAGAACCGGCTGTTGGCTTCTTCAGCTGTTATCTTGGCCAGGTCATCTACTCTACCGCTCGGTCCAGTGGCGGGATAAAGTGATATTGTTAGATCCATAGAAAAGGCTATGCTAGATAGATTGTAGTTCTTATAAGCATTATATTTAAAGATGTAATATTAAGAGATCATAGCTTAAATAACAACTTTTTATTTTTATTTTAATTATTACTATAGCCCGGCCCTTAACAGTTAATTAAGTCTAAAGATCGTAGATAAGGCTGGGCTTACTCTATTAGAATATATAATTGCATATATGAACTACCGTGTGTTTTGCTGCTGTGGCCGAGGGCGTCTTTGTGAGTCCACTTTGACGATGCTAATAATAGTGCTAACATCCTGTAAGTTATTAGATCGCCACACCTGGCATAATAGGTGTAGAGGTTTTCGTGGTTAGTGTGTGCATCCGTTCCGTCATGAGTGTAAACAACCATCTGGATTCATTCTAACCTAGTATAAGCTCAAATGATTCTCCTCTCTGTGCCTCCCAGCAGACTTTATGAATACGGCCTATTCCTCTGCGATATGCAATCCCATCGGCCCATTTCACCCGCAAGACATTAAAGTATTCATACCAATGGCTTGCCCTGGGGTGCTCTTGATGATACACCTCATAGACGCCTGACCATTCGCTTTCCGAACAAAATCCTGCTGCAATTTCCACCAGCTCAACAGCTTCATTGGGGTTTTGTAACGCTAGACCTGACATATCAAGCCCGTCATGGGGCTGCATGACTCCTGCCCAGGTCCCATCGCGTTTGCGAAGAATGAATAATAGATGTTGTTTCCCTGTCATCCAAGGCTCTCCATCACAGGCAAACCATGCCCGCTGACTTGTGGTTGATATATATGGCGAAAACACTGCCGGCACCACTTCCTCTGGCTGCATGAGTGGAATGGGGTACCGAAACTCATAAGAAGGATACGTTTGGTGCGTGTAGAAGTGCGTACGGAGAGTGGAGCTCGGATAGTATGAATCCGGCTGTGAACCCTCCGGGATCTTGTGTCTTGACCAGCCCTTGTCGTGGTCGAAGTATCCAGACTTCAGCTCGTCTTTACAATCGAAGATGCTGGCGCGAATCGACGTGCCAACAGAGTTCGGCGCCCCGTGAAGTTTCCAAAACCGAGTTCGTATCGTGCCTCGAGTATTGCGATGTTCCCATTCATATCTCCCTGTTCTAATGAAGTCACAGGATTCATGACCAAAACGAATGTCGCTAGACCATCCTGCCCAGCTCCAACTAGGCAACTCATTCGCTCTCGAAGAATTCCTGGCAACCCTGCGGCTTAATTGACTTCCAGGCTCCCATGACAGGACTAGATCAAAGAACGCAGTTGGGAGACCAGATGCAAAGCCACCACTCAGTTTGGTGCTTAACAGCAACGATATTCCCGCAAAACCATCAAGGCAGTCTTCTGGATGAGTGAATTGTCTTTGGTTATAGTCAGTCAAAAAGCTGCGGAAAAGGCTCAAGTTTGGAACAGAACGTTCCATGATAAAACTGCACGGAATGACTCTTGACTGAGTTGAGTCGAAAATTGGAGGCAGCTTGACGTGTTCACGCCACACGGCGGACTTACACTCCCAGCGGAGAGAGTTGCCCGTGAAAACCGACCTCCTTCTGGAAAATAAGTACTCCTGGAATATCCATCCTCGGCTTCCCCAAATTGAATGGCCATCTGTAGGCTCAAACAGGCTCACCGCTGAATCTGAAACAGGAGTTGCTACCAGCTTTGTTTTCTCATCTTCAGAGTGAACAGTCTGATGCAAATGCCTGGGCTCTGATATGCCCCGGAAGCCGCTTAAGCCACTGTTTGCATGCTCTCCGCCGGCAGCCAATAATGTGACTGAAGCATTGGCGTAAATCATCGCCATCTTTGATATCTCTACCGCTTTTTGTGCCGTGTTGTCCTGCACAATGCATAGCGTGTCGACCCAGAGATATTTCTCCGATAATATTTCAACTATCCCGAGCGTCCCTGATTGTTCTGGCGACAAGTTTCGTCCGTAGCGACCCCTCATGCTGCAGACTGACGAGACCGCTTTCGGTCGTGTTGAAAGTTGATTGGCTACCCCATACATAGCTCAGGGCAATATAGGAGTGGTCTTCCGTAGCTGGGACGATGCACTGGCGATCGACGTCCACAAGCCATGCAGACCGTATAGATGCCAGTACTTTGTTGGGCAATTCCGTGCAAAGCCCCCTGTGAAGATTAGTACATTTAGACTTCCACGAGCCTGCGAGATCTCGGTCAATCCAACGAGCATCAAGAAGCTGTCCAATGCTCCTTTCCTCTGTCTCTTTGGGCCTCTCCAGGAGATACAACGCGAAGACTAGCGGCTTAGCGAACATGGCCTCAGAACGCATTGTTGGAGTGATGACAGTGGCCATGTTTAACGGGCATTTGTGTATATCTAGGCGCTGGATCTCATTAGCTAGGGTGTGTATGGTATAAGTGGATAGGCTATGACCCAGGCCCAAGGCAGACATGATCAGGTCGTGATGTCGGCGGCATCGAGGCTAAGAACATAGGACGTCAATCCCTGATCACGCAAAATTTTTAGGTCTGACCTTTCTCACTTCCAGGAGTCGCTGGACGAGAGCTGAGGGGCGTCCCGGACCTCCACTGGCTTCTTGTAACGCCAACTTCTCAGAAACCCCTTCAGCCACACGCTCGAAGAGCCTCTCTTAATCCATATCTTTGGGCCTATTATCTTGCCGAAACTTGGCAATAACATCCAGAAGGGTGGCGGTAATTTGCGTCTGATCAACTTGGCTGGCCTTGAGTCCTAAACAGAATTCGTCAACTCGCTTGAGGATCGACGAAAGAACACCAGGCGTTTTTGCCTGACCCATATTCGGGGGAACCATGTCCTAAAGATCTTAATTCACCTTGACGAGTTCGTTTAGCAGCTGGACAAACTCGTCTCGATGCGACAGCATCCATCTCAGTCTCCTCCAGACCGTTCTTGGTCGCCCGAGTCTCTCGCCTGAGCCATTTATCGCAGCGTTTCAGCTTTCCTTGAGGCGCCGATGTCTCGAGGTCGTACTGGTCTAGGAACTTCTGGTCTACCACCCGCTGGCGTTGGATGATTCGGTGGCTTAATCGGGACAGGGCTCTTGTTCCCCGGGTGGAGGCTCGTACAACAATCTCTGAGCCTCAACTTCGATCCCACATCACTCCCCCCAAAACTTAAGCTAAACGCTTCCACGTGGCAGCCAGATAGAAAACGGTAGATCGCAAGATGGCAGAACAAACACAACCAACAGCCCAACGTAACTTGCTTACAGTGATGCCTGAAAACCCAGCCACAGCGCCACTCGGATTATTGCACATTCAGGGTTTTTACCGTTACCTACTCTGCTCAGCCTTCTGGCCACGGCAGGATTTTATTCCGATCTGCGCTACCACGGCTTCTCTTCAGACCCGGTGAGGATCCCCACCCGTTATTTCTCATCTATTCATAACAGCCTCATGACGATGGAACTGGATCATCCACGCTTCCCATCAAACGTCCGTCTCATCCTCGAAACCGGATTCTCTTTTGTCCTCAACGGTGTCGGGGCAGGCATACTATGCTCCGCGTGCTCCAGCCTCGTCATTGCAATCGATCCCCAGCAGAGCGCACCCCTCTGGGCCCCTTTGAGGAGCATCCTAGGACTGGTCATATATGCATACCTATGTTTCTTTGAATTTTTCTTTTACTTTCATCTGCATAGAGATTTTGAGCTGCACTATGACCGACCATCGGAGTCGTGGTGGTTGCAGCTCGGAGCCCTCAGGTTCATTGCCTTCTTCGTGGCGAACAATTTGGCGAACAACTACCCGCCGCCATGGTCGTGGCCACTTTTCGCTATATTCCCCAACCCTTGGCTGTTGGTGTCAGTCACTTACACTATTATCTTACTCTCCTCTCTCTATTCTGCTCGCGCAGAAATGAACGTTGTATCTCCGAGATGGACGATGGCCAAGCTCACTGCACTACTCGCTGGCCACTTCGTTGAGCTTCACATATTGGATAAGAAGCTCAATCTCTCGGAGAGTATTATCAGCTTCTCGAGCGCTTTTGACGAAGACAGACCGTGCCCTGAATCCAATTACCCGTACACCCCTTTGACACGTCCGAAAGAAATCCGGCTCCTCAAGTTAGAAGTGATCTCGGGAACAGTTTGCTGCGCCTTGGAGACGGTACATCTCGATGAAGCACCACCTTTCTGGGCTCTGTCCTATCTCTGGGGTAGCGACCAAATGGATATGTGCACCATCCAGCTATCCTCACCAGAGGGACCTCGCACCCTTCGCATTACTTTCAACTGTGCCACGGCTATCCAATCTTTAGTCCCTTTCAGGACGCGGTATCTTTGGATCGATGCCATTTGTATCAACCAACGTGATGCTCTTGAAAAACGACACCAGCTGCCTTTGATGCCGGACATCTATACTCAGGCGACACTCGTCATTGTCCACCTCGGGGGTCACAACACGTTGCCAATAGGGGATTTCATGAACAGACTGAGGCAGAATATTGCACAAGGCGAGGATCTTGTCTTCGACCCTTTCGACAGCTCCAACGCCACCATGTGGGAGGCCTTGTTCGAGATTCTTGCCCAATTATACTGGGGGCGCGCCTGGATCTTCCAGGAGGTTGTCCTGGCCAAGTCGCTGCTCGTTATTTACGGCACCGCATGCCTCCAGTGGAAAGATCTAGCGTCTGTTGCAAAACACTCCATCGCTGGTGACAGTATTGTCCTAACCGAGAAGAGTGATAACAATGATGATCGGAGGGAGCTGGCTTCTCGTATAACCCGGGCCCTGTCGAATTTCGGACTTTTCACGCACATCGTCGACAGACTAAAGACATATGATTCAAGTTCAGATGTCCCTAAGCGACCGAAACTAGCGCAGGTCATTGACTTGGCATACTACCGACAAGCAACCGATCCCCGTGATACAGTGTATGCGTTACTCGGTCTCTGCTCGGACGCTTCCGTCCCGGCATTGCAGCCAAACTACGATCCATCCATTTCTTGTGAGCAAGTATACACAGATGTGGCATGCTACTATCTCGAAACCGGGAAGTGCATCAATCTCTTGCTTTTGGCTGGGTTAGCATACAGACAGCCGACCATGCGCCTTCCAAGTAGCAAGTGCCACATCTCAGGTTTCCTACCGTCTTGGGTCCCCGACCTTGGTCTTGAGACTGAGAAACGGCTCGGAAGCTGGGCGGCAGAACGTGAGAGGTGGAGGGATTGCCAACTAGAATGCCATATTTGTCCCAGGCGCCGATTTCTATCCATCAGGGGCTGCGAACTAGGCACCATCATGGCAGTATCGAAAGTTGACATGCGAAGAGCCGAAAAGTCAGCATCTGGTCAAGTCGGAAGAGACTGGGTGATGCAGCACTTGTCAAGCAACTTCGCGGCGAGCCTTCAGATGGCGGAGGAACTCGTGCCTGACCCGTATCCCACCGGCATGAGCCGTGAGGACGCTCATTGGAGAACGCGAATCATGGACCACGACGACAGAGGCTCCCCAGCAGCTGTAGGCACAAAGAATCTAGTCAATATTCTATTTGACTATGTGAAGAACTCGGCGGAGGGCGGGCAACCTAAACATGCTTTGTCCGATGACCAAAGGGATACGAGCATCAAGCCCACCAAGGGCTGGGGTTTGATAATGGCCTCCTACACTTTTGCGGTAACCAAGGGTGGGTATATGGGACTGGTACCTCCCGGATCGGCTGAGGGTGATATGATTTGTCAATTCGAAGGTTGCGGCGTTCCTTTTGTTCTTCGTCCCCAGGGTGAGGAATGCGATGATACTTTTACACTCTGGGGTGACGCGTACGTTCAGGGGTTTATGCATGGCGAGACCAGTTCGCTCCGTAGAAGGTGGTTTAAGATATCCTAGACTCGGGAAAGTATTCTCGACTTATAGGTGGAACTTTTAAGTAGTAGTATCCTTGCGCTTAAAAAACGCGATTTTAGGTAAAATAAAGTTTTATAATAATAATAATATAATTTATATAACTTTTATTTTTAATGAGGGTATTAATTATATAATTAAAGTAGATTTTATTAATAGGTTAAAAGTTATTTCTTTTAATAAGCTTAATTAAGCTATTTTAAGAAAATAAAAAATTTATTTTTAAAGCCTTTTTAAAAAGCTTTATTAAGATTTAAGATTAGATTTATATATCTATGCCCTAAGGGTTAATATATATATATAACTTATATAATAACTTTAAACCTCTATAATATATTAATTATTATATATTAGTTATAATTACCCTTATTCTTTTAATAATTTAATTAGGTTTCTTATTATATTTATATATTATATTTACTCCTTCTATAGTATAATAGTTCCTATACCTTAGTTATAGTTACCTTCGCAAGAAAGAGGCTACTAGTTTAAGCCTAGCCAGAGGACCCTTTTTCCCTACCCTATATAACCTTTATAAAAAAATTATATAAGCCGGGAATTAAACCTATAACCTATATATTAACTAAGGCCCTTAGTTATTGCGCTATTAGCTACTACTTTATTAATAACCTAAATTAAAATTACTATTAATATTATTAACCGCCGCCACGAGAGACCCACTTAGCCACCGACTTACCCTATAGCTAACCGACCCAAGCCCTAAGCCCCGACCCTACCGAGAGAGCATATACGATAACGACCTAGCCCTTAGATCACATAACTAATTATATAACCGACCTAACCTAATTAATCAAGACAATTATTAATCTATATAATAAGGTAGGGCCCAGCGAGGCATATATATAACTAGAGGAAATTAGGATTATATATTTAATTATATATTAGGTCTTATAATATATAATAAACCTTATTAAATTAAGTTACTTAATTAAGCCTAGCTAGCAAGGGGTTTTAGAGCGAATTAAAGAGGTAATTTAATTCTAACCGAGGTTTTTTACCTTCTTAGATAAGTAATTTTCCCCTAATATAATAATAGCGCC